CTGACCGTCACGGTACTCGAGCCGGATTACAGCCAGGAGTGGCTGTCATGTAACCCAGAGTTTCGGGTGGCTTTGTGGGGATTTTGGGTTTAGGGTTTAGGGTTTAGGGTTTAGGATTAAGGGTTTAGGTTTTAGGTTATAGGGTTTAGGTTTTAGGGTTTAGAGTTTTAGGGTATGAACTCATGATGGTGCGGATGCGGACGAGAAGGACGAACATAGCATGAAGATCCAGGCGAGTGTGAAGGCCCAGACTAGGGTTTAGGGTTTAGGGTTTAGGGTTTAGGGTTTAGGGTTTAGGGTTTAGGGTTTAGGGTTTAGGGTTTAGGGTTTAGGGTACTAATAGGAGGATGGCAATGAAGGCAGATGACGAGGAGGGGGAGGAGGAATTGGCGATGATAGCAGCGATGAGGGTAAGTTGGCGATGATGGGGGTGGTGACGATGACCATGACTATGACGGTGAGGATGAGGATGGCAATGACGATGACGACGATGATGATGGTAGTGGCGGCGATGACGACGAACAACGACGAGGATTAGATGATATGATGCTGGGATGGCGGGGCTGATATGACTAACGGTAGCCGGCCCTCTCATAGCAAGAAGCACGAACGTGCAGCACTACCAATCATTGACCACTCTTGCAACCCCGACAGGTCCTGACCTTTGGCGTCAGCTTCATCAGCGCGGCATCTCATCAGTGGCCTGGGCGCGTTTGCCAGGGTGAAGACATGAGGCTCTCGCAGCAGCAGCAGCAGCAGCAGCAGCAGCAGTAACGGTAGCGGGAACAGCTGCAGCAGCAGTAGTACCTGCAGCTGCAGCAGCAGCAAAGGCGGAAATCCTTGGCTGCTTGTTGAAAGGACTAAGGTCGCAGCCCCCTGCTGCAGCAAGACCCTCCAGCGCTTGCAGCGGCCGGCTGCATCTTCGCCCGTCCTTCCGACGAAATGTCCATCCCCCTTTCACCCCAAGGGTGAACAACCCTAAACCCTAAACCCTAAACCCTTTCACCCCAAGGGTGATGAAAACAGAAACCCTAAACGCCAAACCCTAGAAGACCCGCACCCAGCAGCCTCAAGCTGGATTGAAGCGCCGGCAGCAGAACTGCAGTACAGGGGAACCTGGCCGTTCTTGAAGCCGCAGAAGGGTTTTGGGGCCTAGGAGTGATCTCCAGCGAGTTGGATCCGGGATTACGGAGTTTGGTAGTTTAGGGCTTTGGGGTTTAGGGTTTAGGATAGCTTCATGTAGGGGCTCAGGGGTTTAGGGTTTAGGGTTTAGGCTAGTTTGATGTAGGGGGCCTGAATCATTAGAATAGGGTACATCTTGATGTGAAAATTTCAGGGACCTGGCGCCAGTGCCGCGAAGCTACGGCTGAGGGACTCAGAGTAAGACGACCCGACACCCTAAACCCTAAACCCTACACCCTAAACCCTAAACCCTAAACCCTACACCCTAAACCCTAAACCCTAAACCCTTAGGGTGAAGTCAGGGTCTGGGTTGACCGAAGTTGAGCTTCGAGGGTTCTACTCGAGCTCCCCTGATCTCTCTCGATCGGGCTTCACATCATCCACGCATCTAACCCTACACTATGGGCTCCCTCGGGAATGCTTGTTGGCTGCTCTTGGGGGGGGGGTACTCATTCGGCGAACACTGCGAGCATCAGTGCTACTCGGCGACCAGGACAACGGAGGGAGCGCTGTGAGGCGTTCTTGCAGTTAGGGGGTCATCCATGATTGTCCGATGTTGCCTTGAGATAGGTTGGAAACAGTGCATGGGAGTATCAAAGACGGCTTTGTGGTGCTCGAAACACAAGCAGCTGGATGAAGTTTATTCCAGCACGAAATTCATAAACGATGCAACCAATAAAACTGTTCACGATCTTTGAGATCCTTCAGCGTTATACCACTGCCGGCATCATCGTCATGGTGCGGGTCATCCGCTCCATCTGTTTGGGACCATTCACTCGGAACCTTCCGCCGAAACTCACAAGCGAGGACTCTACAAGCCCACCATCCCCTGACCGCCCCCCCCCTTGCCCCAACCAAGAACCCAGAGACTCCAATATCCCTTAAAAAGGAATATACCTTAGAAAATATAGTAGGATCCCTAATATGATTTAAAGTATATTCCTTGATTAAGGGATATTGGAGTCTATGGGAAAGAAGCGAACACCTAAAACCTAAACCCTAAACCCTAAACCCTAAACCCTAAACCCAATTCGAAGCCCTTTCCCCCAACCAAGAAGAAGCGAACGACACCTCTAGCTGACCTTCCAGAGCCGACAGAGCCCCTCCCACATTCCGACGGCACCTCTCCGGCGCAGCCCGCGAGGCAGCAGGAAGGCTCTACGCCCCCAACCCCGGAAGTTCTCCGGGGCTTAGGGTTTAGGGTTTAGGGTTTAGGGTGCTTCTTCTGACGTTGCCAGATGAGGGATGTCTGCTGCAAGGTAGTGAGGAAGTGGGCTTCGGGCTGAGTGAGCAGGGGTCGAGTCTGCACCACCCAACGGTGAGGCGGTGAGGGCTTTGGCCGAAATTCTGGAAATCTGCATCTGCAACTTCTCGAAACTTGTGAGTCTGAAAGGAGCAAAGCCAAAGACCCTGGCACTGGCCTGCCCAAAAGTAGCTAGCAACCCTAAACCCTAAACCCTAAACCCTAAACCCTACACACCCCTCAACGACTCCTGCTCCAGAGAGCCACACCAGGCCGCGGGACCCGGCGTGGTGCGAAAGGGCTGCCGGACCATAAGACGCACCCAGAGACTCCAATATCTCTGAAGTAGAAGTTACCAGAAGAAGGATCCCTAATGTAGGAACCTGATTAAGACACCCTGGCTCTTTATAAGGGTTCTTAATATGAGCCCTAATATGTTGGGCCTATAGGGGCCAGGGTTTCTTAATCAGGTTCCTAGATTACCCTTATTGAGAGTCTAGGCGTTTGAACGGATCTTGGAGACCCTGCAGGTCCAAGCATGTGAGAGTTTCAGAAAATGGGGGGACCCTGATATAGGACCCTAAATAGTAGGATCCTTATTATAAGGACCCCTAAATAGGGTACCCTAGTTTTCTGAAACTCCCATATGGTTGGACTTGGGTGGGGTTAGGATGGTTTAGGGTTTGGGTGAGACTCGCTG